CGTCAAGACTATAACCATTTTGTGGATCCCGTATACCTACTATCTGAAGTTTTTAAGGTATACGAATTTGAGTTTCCCCTATAGGTAATGACAAAGACCCTGATGAGGTTCAAGATTGGCTTCTGATTGTACCAAATCCGAGTTTATTGAGGGAGCGTGGTCGTCCAAAATCCAATCGAATTCATTGCGATATGGATATTCGAGAAAGATCTAGACAAGACAGAAGATGTGGCCATTGTAGAAACCCAGGACACACTAGAAAAACATGTCTACTTCTGTTGTCATCATGTAACAATTGACGAGGAAATGATGTATTTGTTTATCAAATAATAATTCTTGTATTTTAATTTGCATTTACTTCAAGTTAATGTCATTCGATAATCGCTGATGAAGATTAAAAAAACGAACACAATGATTAAATTTTTTCAAACTAATAATAATTTGGTATTTAAATACAACAAACTTACAATAAGAATTAAGTGGTAAATGATAACCAAATTACAATAACTGATATTAAATGGTAATAAACAAAATTAACTAAAATATATTAAAAAAAAGTCCAACAAATTTAACAAAATAAAGTAAGTATTAAATGAGAAATAATAAAAAATTACAATTAAACAAAATAAAGTAAATACAAATATAATAAAAAAATCTATCGATGCCTGCGTCGCGAATGTGTTCCGCAGGGCGGTGGCTGTCGGTCTCGAGGAGGATTTCTTCGTATCACTGGTTCTGACTCCTCGCTGTTGTCGTCACCATCGTCATCGTCGTCGTCGTCATCCTGAGCAGGTAAATTAGGTTGATGAGGAGCTGATGACGATGAAGCACCTTCATAGAATAAGAACCCTACAGGTGTATGACTGACTATCCCACCAGTATGCGAAAATTGGGAAAACCCAGACATCGCTGAGTGTGAAAACTGTATAGGAGGTGTCTGTGCTGCGGCCATAGGTGATGAGGTTGAACCTGCCAAATATCTAGCATATGAACCCCAAGTCAGATCTGCAAACATTGACCCATAATAGCCTCTAGGAGGGGTCATCTGTGACGGTGGCGGGGTCATAAAACCAGGTGAAGGCGGCGACGACATCTGGTAATTGAAAGGTGATGACGACATCTGGTAATGGAAAGGTGATGGCGACATCATATATGGTTGTGACATCATATATGGCTGCGGTGGCTGCTGGGAAGGTCCTGCTGGTGCAGCTGAAGATGAACCGGAAGCCCCTGCTATCCGTCCACGAGTCGGGGGACGATGATGCTATGTCGGTGAACGTCTCTGTCGACGTCGTGGAAAGGTCTGCCCTCGTGCATCCTCGGGAAGTAGAAACGATTTCCCGTTACTGTTGAACCACTCATAATAATCCTCAACATACATCAAGAAGTCTGTAAAAATGGGCTCTCTAAGTGGAAGGCGCCGATGTCGATCCTCCCACAACACGACCCACTCATGATGCCTCAATAGCCAATCTGTATCTGTCTTGCCGCGTCTATCTAAGCTATGCAACTCGTCCATATTGCGAGGTGCTTTCGGGATTGGTTGAAAACAACCAAACTGCCGGAGCACGCGATCAGTGGAGTGCCACTCGACGGTCGCATAACAGATCAGAGGGACCATCGCCATCCAAACATCTGATGGACCCCTCAACTCAGGTGGGATCACCGCCCTCACATCATCAGTACAATATGGCACCCATTTAAACTAAAACAAATAATATATAATTTTTACTAAAATAATAATCTAATTTATAACTATAATCTAAAATCGATTTTTGAACATTAAAATTCATACCTGTGTGTCAGCCTTCTGATCGATTAGCACCCTAATTTTTTCTAAATCATCAGGTAGCTCCTGATGATTTTTCCTATTAGTAGACCACCTATTCAAGGGAAAAATTTTGTTATATGCTGTATAAAATTATTAATATACAAAATTAGTTTTATAATTACATCAGAAGTAGTGGAAATACGAATGGGTTCTTCACAACGGGACATAAAAAGGGCAATCGATACCATGCCCAAGACTGCAGCAGCAGGAGACATCCGCCGATAGTATTACGTCTGTAGTCAGTGGCTCTACATATCTCCTTGTACAACAAAGCCAAAACTGGCGAGCCCCAACTGAATGATCCGGCGAGACGAAAGTCGCTAAGATGTCGCAACCACATGCAGTGAACTAGATTACTCGATTTGTCCGGCATCAACAACCCTCCTATCAGCTGCAGTATGCATGCCCGTGCATACATCTTAACCTCATCCTCGAGGCGTCTGCGCTCAACTCTCGAAAATTGGCATCTAACCAATTTAACGGTATTCTACCTCCGATAAAATTTTCCGGGATACGTCCTAGACTATCCCCACACAAAGTAGTCCAAAAACCGGAAGCTATCCCCGATATCACATCTCCATTCACTGGAAGCCCCAGGTGCATAGAAACATCCTCAAGCGTGATCGTGCACTCTCCGCACGGAAGATGGAATGTGTGAGTCTCCGGCCTCCACCGCTCTACTAAGGCAGAAATCAGGTCTGGCTCTATCTTACAGTGACCCTGATATCTACTTATGTAACCGAATCCAGCCTCTACTAAATATGGCAAGACACGGCTGAGTATCACTAACTTAAGATTCCTAATAAAAGGATCTAATACACGTTCCTTCTCCTAAAAATAAATAATTACAAAAATTAATTCTTAATCTAATAATCATGCATTAAATAAATCAACTAATTATTACTAATAATTTAAATTAAAACGTTAAAATGTTACCGTATCAGCAAAGTGTCGAGATATTTAATTCTTAATCTAATAATCACGCATTAAATAAATCAACTAATTGTTACTAATAATTTAAATTAAATTAAAACGTTAAAATATTACCGTATTAACAAAATGTTGAGATATTTGATTCTTAATCTAATAATCATGCATTAAATAAATCAACTAAATATTACTAATAATTTAAATTAAATTAAAACGTTAAAATGTTACCTTAACAGCAAAGTGTAGAGATATATGATTTTTATTCGAGCGAAGTAGACTGCCTTCCATTATATATCTGCAAAAGAATTATATTAGTAAAATATTAAATAAAGTAAATACATAATAATAAAATTATTATAAAATATACCTTAAAAAGATAGTATTAGAGAGAAATTTAGAGAATTTGAGAGAATTTAGTTTGATAAAAGTGATTGAGGATGAGCGTATTTATAGGGAGGATTGGGATGTGAGAGGTCGGGTATTTCGCGCCCTCTACACTGCGCTATACCCCACGTGTCAGATATACATGTATAGCGCGGATCAGGGGGCGCGTTATACCCACGTGGCGCCAAATCACCGTATGTCGCATGGTAGGGGGCGCGCTATACCCACGTGATACCAAATCAGCGTATAACGCGGTTCAGAGTAGAGGACGTGCTTTTCTGCTACGGGTGTTATATAAAAAATATAATATAATCGGTGTTAGATCAATAAATATATCGATCACTAGTGATTTATCGGGAAAATTACCTTAAGATGAGGCAGCGAATAAGCTTTGACTTTTCAATCAAACGTTGGCTCTGTTCTTGTCGGTGTAGAGGGGGTCGATTTTCCATCAATCGGAAATGAAAGGTGACAGTGGCGTCGATGCAAGAGAAGGAAAAATTGAGTTAACGAAGTCTGGTGAGGAAGAAAAGAGAAAATGAGAAATAGCATATGAACAACAGGTGAGGAAGAAAATGAGAGTAAAAAATATATAAATAATATTAATAAAATATTAATAAAAAATAATTAAAAATGCCATATCATGTAGTTACTGACTATAGTGAGTAAATTGAAAAAAAACGAAAGTACAATGAGCGAAATAAGAGAGAGAATAAAATTTAGTGAATAAATGTTTAATTTACCCAAATAATAAACAGTGACTTCACCCCAATATAAAGAAATAATTTTAGTTTTATATTATAATTATGAATTTTAGAAAAATTAAAATTAATTTGAAAAATAGGAAGAAAAAATATTTTTAAAATATTTTCTATTAATATTTATAAACAACAAATATATAATACAATTCAAGTGACTCATTAACACCGACATAATACAAATATAGTATAAATTTTAGATATATTTATATAGTTTTTTAATTTTTAAAGTATATTTATAAATATAAATTTTATTACTAATATAAAGAATACTTTTTATTACATTTTTTAAATATTTCGTTAGACTTTATTATAAAATAAAATTTTAAATTATATAATTTTATTTCAACATCAATTTTGTTAAATATATAATATTTTATTTTATAATAATTTTAAAACCATTTATTTTAAAAAATTATTTAATAAGTACGTGATATGTAAATTCTATTGTTTTCTTCTTTTGATTTATAGAGAAATAAACATAAAACAATAAAATTTGTGAAAATTCGTTTCCTTCTTAAAAAATTGAAAAATTACAACTCCAAAACATATTAATTTAAAAAAATCATTTATTTATGGTGTATCAAATTCGATTTATTACTTTTTATTATTATCTTTTTATGAGTAATAAAAAAATTAGTCATAATATTTTAATTACGAAAATTTATCTATTCAAAATATAAAATCAAAATTCTAATTAAAAATAATAATTTTAAACACCTTGATTTAATTTTTAACGATGAATTGCATAAGGAAATTACAGAATTTTAAAAATTTATCAATGAAAAATAATTCTTAACGATTTTATAAATGGTGACATGAAATATTAATAAAAAAGATTAAATACTTAAAATAAAAATGATATATTTGAACAGCTATTTTACAATAAAACCACTTTTTCTTCCTGAAATGGAAATAATAAGTCTTCGGTTCAATGCGCCTTTGAAAATGACCGAACCAGTCATTTTCCCATTTTCCATCATTAAAACCATAAATGCTTGGAGTTTCGTACCATTTTCCCAATACGCTTAAAAAGCTGGCAAGTTAAAGATCCAGATAGAGCGATAGCTGCATCTAAAAGCTAACTGTTGATGAGAAGGAAAAGTTAAGGTGCAATAAGACTGCTTCATTTCACGAAGGAAAAAAACATGGGAAGAGTTGTTAATTGTCCTTCAACAATGAAAATTCTCTTTGGGTACATAATTCTTACAGTCCTGGAGTTCATTTACATGGAACCAAACCAAGTTGAAGCTCGAGTAGAGCCACCTTATCCACCACATTATGAAGGTAATTTAGTACAGTACAGCTTTCCAATTCCTTATTGCTTCAGTTCGCTTTAAAGATGAGCACTGTTGAACAGTACATTGCAGATTCGGTTCATTTGGGTTATTGATACTTGAGTTATTATATGTTTTAAGAACTCACCCAAGAGATTATTCCACTGATTTTCTTTTAAATTTGTTTCAACGCCTACTCAGCTTACTCCAGTGGCTTCTCAATTTGTTGTTTTTTCCCCTCTTTCTGGATTTGCAGTAAAAGCTCTTCGTGAGATAGCTGCAGAACTTAGAAAGAAGGATTGGAATTTCAGTGAGAACCCTTGTAACAATAAGTCAAGCTGGTTTACTCCACCGCCACCGCCAAATATGCCCCTGGCTATTAACAACAGTACTGTCACCTGCAATTGCTCCTTCCCCGATGGTGAATGTCATATTGATGGCATGTAAGTCCTTACTGGTCATAAGAAAATTGATGCTTATTCTGATTTTTTAACCATAGACATAATCGACTTATCGTATTTTTCCAATTAATTTCTATACTAATGGTTTGCCTGGATTCCCCACTTCGATTCTAGCTATATGAAGGGTGCGCCTCATTCAAGATGGAAGGCTGCATGACTGTAGCTTCATCTTCTAATACAAATTTATTCCAACTAATCATCCCACTCACTATATAATATGAATTCTGTTGTTTCTTTATCAGTGAAAGGGTTATGTGGTTACTTTTTTCTGCTACTGAAATTTCTCTCCTAACTACCGCATATTTGGAAATTTTGAATTGGAAATGCTTCTAAAAGCTTTGTATTCATTTGAACAGCTATCTTTCAGGGCAGGATCTTGATGGTGTTCTTCCACGCTCACTTGTCAAGCTACCATATATTAGAACTTTGTAAGGGAAAAGGTTACAATTGATGATTTTACTCTTTAACTAGAAAATAAGTTTCTATTCATTTTAAAACTCTTTTCTGTTGCTTTTAGAGAACTCTATCTCAACTACCTTAAGGGTTCAATACCTCATGAATGGGCTGCTCTGAAATTGGAGACAGTGTAAGCTACAACCGCATTTGACATTTCATGTTTATCCTCCTTTTAGCAGAAATCTACTTTCATTCAACTGATAGGGATGACCACATTTCAGGTCAGTTGCTATGAATCGTTTATCGGGGTCAATTCCAGGATCTTTGGGAAACATAACCACTCTAAAATATTTGTATGCCTTCGTTGCCTATGTTTTATTTAGTATCATCTCTTTCTTTATTTTTTCCATAAATTTAAAAGGATTATAATGCTTTTTAACGGCAATATATTTTCAGGAGCCTCGAGAACAACATGTTTTCTGGAACTATTCCTCCTGAGTTTGGGAAATTGGTCAACCTGGAAAACCTGTTAGGCTTTCTCTTCCCTATTAGATACCCATGCATGATTTATCAGTCTACTTCTCTCTTGAATATTTAGCATGGTATAATTGGCCTGACTTCGCCTCTTTCTTGAATATAGTACTCTTAATGCTAACTATCTCACTGGAAAGTTTCCCTCGTCCCTTTCTAATCTGTCCAATCTAAAAGAACTGTAAGTGTTTTCTGTACTATATAGAGTTAGACTGTAAATTAGGCTAGATTTGGTTAGTACCCCTGCTTATATGTGAGGTTTATGCAGTAGGATTAGCAGTAACAATTTCATTGGAAAGATACCCAACATTTTTCAAAGTTGGAAGCAACTTGAGAAGTTGTAAGCATCTTCCTGTCTCCACTACTTCTCTAGAGCCCCTCGTTGAAATTTCTGGTGATCATAATATTTTTTTTGTTGACAGAGAGATTCAAGCTAGTGGTTTTGAAGGGCCAATTCCTCCGAGCTTAACACTCTTGCATAACTTAGTGGAACTGTGAGTTTGTCTTAATTCCTTTTGATAATTACTGCACTGGGTGCCTTGTCTCTTTTACCAATGCTTTATGGTGCAATGTAATTCAGAAGGATCAGTGACTTACCTGGAGAGGGTTCAAAGTTTCCGAACTTAAAAAACATGAAAAACATGTACAGATTGTAAGTCATTTCCAGGCTTGCAAAATTATTCAAGCTCGTATTACTTCCGTTTGCTATAGTTGTGCTCACATGATGCTGGCTCACATGATGCTGGCTCAAATTTCAGGATGTTGCGTAGCTGCAATATAACTGGACCGATCCCAAATTACATATGGGAATATTCACGACTGCAGATTTTGTAATTCTACTGTTCTTGTCTCACCTTAATTTTCAGTTGTTATATCTTTTTTTTTTTACAAGAATTGAAGGCCTCATTAAAAACCCCCTTCTTGATTACAGGAGCTTGTAAGGAAGCTCCTTAATCAGTGGAAGGAGGAAAAGAGTGCCTTAGAATTTCATTCAACAACTGAAATTACATCAGATACAACCAGAGTAACACCTCCTTCAAAAACAGAAAAACACAAGACACCCGTGAACAACCAAATACAACAACACTGACTTAGGCTAAACCAACTAAGATAAGGCAGCAGCCTCTGAATGGTTTACCATTTACTGGTCTACCAGCACCCTTACAGACTCTTAGCGTATGCACAGCCTGAGAAAACATAAAACATTTAAACATTAAGCCTACAAGCAATCAACCAATCCCCTGCTTAGCTAACTTATCAGCCTCCATATTACAACTCTTAGGAATCCATCTAAGAACAGTGTCCAAAGCAGTAATTAGAGCCCCAATCTCCTCCACCAGATCACTGAATGAAGTAGGGGCAGAGTGCTAGTTATAAATCCATTCCACTGCACTTTTAGAATCACTCTCAATAATAAGTCTTCCCTTCTTAGCCCATTCAGATGAATAGAAAAAATCAATTCCCTCCTTAATAGCTATCAATTCTGCCAAAATAGGAAGAGTAGGCCCTACTGCTGAAGAGAAAGTGGCTAAGGTAGAGCTGTTTGAATCTCTTAAAATGCCTCCAATTCCATCTTTCAACCCATCTCCTCTTACTGCCCCATCCACATTAAGTTTAAACATATCCGATGAAGGAGGTAACCAACCAATAACCTTCTTTGAGATAGAAGAGTTTTGAATCTTATCAGCCCGCGAGGGATCCCCTACTAGCAGATCTGTCTGCATACAAACAGTAGGGTACTTTGCTAGATACCATTTAACCAACCTAAATCTAATGAAGAAGAAGAGGGCAGAGATGTCAAAATTTCCGTTATCAAACACCACCAAATTCCTAGCCTTCCAAATTGACCAGAACACGACAACCGGGATAAACCTCCAAATAATAGAATTCTGCCTTAGATTCGACCAAGAACAAAGAAGTTTTGAGGCAAAACAATAGAAATATTCCATAACTTTTGTAATTTGTTCCAAATCTCTCTTGCAGAAGAACACAATAAGAACAGGTGTTCTACTGTTTCCTCATGAGAACAGCATAAAGGAAAAAGTACATTATCCAAAGGAATCCCTCTTTTCTTCAACTCCACTCTAACTGCCAATTTGCGATGACAAATCTGCCGCAGAAAAGTTTGAACTCTAGGAGGAGCCAATCCTGTCCACACCCACTTATTCCACTCAAACCTACCTTCAGAATTACACGACAACGTCAATCTGCACGACTTGACCGAGAACAATCCAACCCCCTTTCACGACCAAGCAAGAAAATCCTCCACTGAACCGGACATCACAATATTATCGAGCAAAGACATTAGAGCGATCCACTGCTCCAATTCCCAGTCACATAGATTTCTTCTTAGATGAATATTCCAAACCTAAACATTCTTTTCAAAACCACCAAACTCAAAAACTTGCCCCCATTTATTAGTCGACAAAGCAAAAATTCTGGGAAATTGAGTTTTTAATGTCAAATTATTCACCCAAACATCAGTCCAGAACGCTATCAACCTACCATTCCCCACTTGGACCTTGGAATTAGCTCTCAAGCAGTCTCCAATCTGATCCTTTTTCACATAATTATTTAGAATACCTGTCCATACCCATGAATCTTGAGGTGATGCAGCCTTTGATATTGAAAGAGATAAGTTGCTAACGTTATTTTTACAACAGATCATCTTTTTCCACTGACTGTTCTTATCATTTGCGAATTTCCAAAACCATTTCCCAAGCAAGGCTCTATTCATCAAACTAATATCTAGGATCCCCAACCCTCCTTCAAAAGGTTGACAAACCGATTTCCAATTCACCCAGTGAATCCTTTTCTTGGCTTGGTCTTCTCCCCAAAGAAAATTAGCCATCAAAGAATTCAACTTCTGAGTCACCTTGAATGGGATTTTGAAAATAGAGAGGTAAAAAATCGACAATGAGAACAACACAGATTTAACCAACACAAGTCTTCCAGCCATCGACAAAGAATTAGCTTTCCAACCTGCTAATCTTTTATTAAAAATATGGATTACCGGTTCCCACAAACCTTCTTAATTTTTCCTTGAACCAATCGGTAAACCAAGATAAGTCATTGGAAAAGACCCCACTCCGCAACCCACTTCAGTAGCCCAATCTTTTAGCATATCAACTTCCATATTAACGCCAAACAAAGTGCTCTTTGACAGATTTAAATGCAGCCCAAACATAACACTGAAAACCCTCAAAACTCTCTTAATATTTAATATCTGCATCGGTGAATCTCTGCAGAATAATATTAAATCATCTGCAAACTGTAAATGCGTCAAATGGAAGGAATTATCAACCCGACCGATGCTTAACCCTTGGAAAAGGCCTAGATTAGCTGCCTTGATCAACATTAAGTTTAAAAGTTCCCCAACTATATTGAACAGGAGAGGGGACAGACTACAGCCTTGTCTCAGCCCTTTACTAATGTGGAATTCCTCAATTGGAGATCCATTCACTAACACCGAGATTGAGGCTGTAGAAATGCAACAATCAATCCAAGAAATCCATTTCTCCCCAAAACCCATAACCTTCATTAATCTCAGTAAGATAGGCCATTCAACCGAATCATAAGCCCTACGGAAATCAACTTTGAAAACTACTCCACGCCTCCCTTTTTTCCTCCAATTTTCTATGCCTTCATTTTCCAAAAGAGCACAATCAAGCAATTGTCTTCCCGGAATAAAGGCAAACTGCGAAGGGCTAACTATACCTTTAATAACCGAAACAAGCCTTTTCGAAAGCACTTTGGAAATTATTTTATATAAGCTGCCAACAAGACTTATGGGTCTAGTCTTCAATGCCCTCTGGATTCAGTTTCTTGGGGATTAGAGTTATAAAAGAGTGATTAACCCCATTCTCCCATTTCCTACCTCTGTGAAAATCCTGAACAAATTTCATAATATGCTCCTTCATTACGAGCTAGATTTTTTTTTAAAAACCCATAGTAAACCTATCCGGACCAGGTGCCTTGGCACTGTCCGAATAAAAGATAGCCTCCCACACTTCCTGTTAAAAAAATCAACCTCTAAACCATCCTTTTGCTCATCTGTCAATTTAGCAAAATTCAGATTAATTTCGTCCACCTACAGAGTTGATTTCGTATTATAATTGAGCTTGAAATAATATGATATAGCAGCTCTAATCTGGCTCGGATCAACAACCTCTTCACCCGCCACTTTCAAGGACGAAATGGCATTTACTCTGTTCCTATTCAGGGCACATAGGTGAAAGAATATGGTATTTCTATCCCCGTCCTTTATCCATTTCAGTCTAGACTTCTGAAGCCATATATTTTCCTCCTTCCTATGCAAATACCACAAATCATTCCTCCAAAGCAGTAACTGCTCCCAGTCATGTGCAGAAATTCCCCCACCTTGAGACCTCAATTCCAAATCATTTATCATGGTTTCCAAATCTGAAATCTGCTCGGAAAAAATCACTTTTTTTGTTCCTTGAAGTAAGCTAAGCAATCCCCTTCGACCATTTTCCAGCTTCAAATTAGAAACAGAATTCTGGATCACCCCAGTAAAACCATCTTACTCTATCAAGTAATTGAAAAAACGAAAAGGTTTAGGACCTCAGTCTTTGAATACTTCTTCTAGCAACAATGGATTATGGTCGGATAGGGATTTTGGTAGCAATTTTTGAATTACTTTTGGAAAGTTCTGGAAGAAGCTGTCACTTAATAAAAATCGATCTAGTCTTTTCCAAGTGGAAGACTCCCTATTATTGCACCATGTAAACCTCCCTCCAACTAACGGTAGATCCATAAAATTAAAACTTTGGACAAAGGAGTTAAATAAATCCAAAGAATGCCAATTCTGAGCCACTCCGATTTTCTCCTTTGGGTCTAGGTAAGCGTTAAAGTCCCCCCTAAGCATACTGACAGTTCTAAACTTTGCACAAAGCTACTCAACTCTTTGAAGAAATCCTCCTTATCAGCCTCTACAGCCGGACCATACACAATAATAACACAGTCAAAATTTATCGCCTTAAACTTCCCTGATAAAGCAATGAATCTACTATGAAAGTGTTCCCTACTGACTTCAAATAAATTTTCATTCCACAAACAGATTAAGCCCCCTGCAGATCCAACAACTGGCTGCCAGCTTCTTCCTTTCAACCAAATACCCCCCAACTTCCTCCATAGTCCATTCTGGCACTTATTCAGTTTAGTTTCCTGTAAAAGCAGAATGGACGGTTTAACTCTGCTAACTAATCTTGCAACATCTCGGATTTTTTCTTTTTTCCCAAGCCCCCTAACATTCCATGAAATCATTTTAAATTGTAAAATTAAATTGACAATCAGAAACACCTTAAACAAGCAAACAACAACACTCAAGATCCCCTTGAATCCCCTTTCAACTCCATCTTCATGATCTCTTCTTCCAAAACATGTTGTCCCCCTTTAAAAAAGATCCCTAGCATATCACAAATCTCCCTGGTAGCATCTGCTTCAATTCTTGCATTAACAGAAGGGTGTGAATACTCACACGTTACACTGTCATGATCCAAAGATTCCCTAACCAAACTCCTATCCACTCTTCTATAAACTCTATCATGAAAACTAATAGAAACTTCACCCTTCGAGCAAACACTACCGGAACGAGTGGGGGCAATCCTTAACTTCCTGTGATTCGCAATATTCCTTGGGCGAGAAAGAAATTAAACCGAGTTTTTAAAACTAATTCCCTTGTTTCCCCCTGTAGTTTTCCATTTGTCATCCATAAGTAATAGCAGGCTGCACCCACCCTGATTCCCATCTAACTCTCTTACATTCGAACTCAGAAAATTACTGGTGTTGAGGTTCAACTGAGGATCAT